GGAATCGGGGTCTGCAGCCTGGTGTTGGCTGGTGGTGCTGGAGGGGGTGGGCTGCAAGCCAAAGCGGTGACCGAGGGAGAAGCCGGCCGTGCAGAAAGCTCGAGGGGGAGCCTTGCCTTACCTGGTGGACCACGCTGTGCCTTTGGACCAGCTTGAGCAAGTTGAGGTAAACGCCCTCCAGGTTCCCGTGGCAGCTCTGGCTCTCCTGAAGGACGGCGGTGGCTTTGCATAAGGTCTCCATGTCGTCGTCTCTCTGGGAAAAGACACACGTGGGGTTTTTAGAAACCCTTCCGTACAGTCGTGGCTGCAGGTTAAAACAGCGCCGATAACACGTTTTTGTCCTAAAGGGCGGGTGCAAAGTGACCGCTCGAGGTGTCAGAGCCTCCCTGCAGCTTCCCAGCCGCCTGCGGGCACACACGGGTCCGTTCCCGGCCCCGGCGCGGCGGGGTTGCGGCAGGGTTCGGCGCAGCCGGGAGCACCCACGTGCTCAGAGCCCCGTGTTCCTGGCGTGGGCGGGAATGTGGGACCCTGTGCTGGGGGAGCTGCTCCCTGCGGGGTCCTGCAGGTGGGAACGAAACTGGTTTGAGTGGGCAGAGGCTCTACGGGAATAACAAAAGCCCCTGGGAAGAGGTTGCTTCCGTCAGGTGCTTTGAGTAGATCAAGCCCCGTAGCAGAGACGTGAGGCAGGTGAGGAGCTAATAAGTGAAGTGCTGCCGGTAATGAAACTCTCCAGGCGTCTTCCCCGGGGGCTGTTCCCGATGGCACCTCGCTGCAGGAGCCCGGGCAGCTCGCTGGGAGCTCTGCCTGCTCCCCTCTCCTCCCCTTTCTCCCCAAATGGCACCACCAAATAAGCGATGGGCCCGTCCCCGTGAGCACGGCCGGGTCTGCGGGCGTTGCATTGTGCAGCATCCTGGGCGCCTCTTCTCCCTCCCAGGGCTGGTCCCTGTGGCAGGAGGGGGTGCAGGGACGCCCCTGCCCCCATGGCAGCGGGAGGTGAGGGCATCGGCTTTCTGTGAAAACAGGAACTCTGGTGCTGGGGAGCTTGGCTTAGGCAGCAATTTTCAGAGCAGAAATAGGCTTTATTATCTGCTATTAAATCTTGTGCTCACTGAGGAGCCTTCCCCCAGATAAGGGGCTAAAGAGGGATAGTGTGTCTAACCAGCGCTTGAGATGCTGCGCGATAGGCGCGTGTGGGTGTCAGCGAGAGGGTGACACACCGCTCCAAGGCGAAGGAAGAAGTTCCTCTCTTCCTTTCTGAAAAGCTTGAAAACCTGACTGCCGCTCAAACACGCGCTGCCCATTCCCGCCCGCCCTTCTGGCCTCCTCCTCGCCGCTGGGGTGGCCGGCAGCAGCTCTTTGGCTGGAGGTGGAGATGGGTGTGGGAAGGTGAGGGCACCCGTGCTGGGCACTGGGAAGACCAGCCTGGCAGCCCCAGCATCGCTGCTCGGGGCTGGCCATGGGCTCCTCGCTCCCGTGCAGCGCTGCACCGGGATGGGCAGGACTCCACGCCTGCCCCGTGCTCTCCTCCGGCCCCCAGCATCCTCCCCCCGTACCCATCGTAGCCATATGATTGTTTTCGAGCAAGGATGAGTTAGGGGTGGGGTTTTTTTTTCCCTCTCTTACCTTCTCGCCTGCAAAAATATTGGTCACGTTCATCTTGTCACAGGAAACCTTTAGCAAGACACGAAGGAGAGGAGCAGTCAGGCTAGAGAAGCTGCTGCTGCAGATCCATCCATGCACACGCAGCTGTGCCCCCCTCCCCCCGTCCATCCGTCCGTCCTTCCATCTGTCCGCCCTCGGTCCCCACCCCCGGGAGCGCCGTGACCCACGCACTCTGCCTCGGCGCTGCACGCTCAGCACCTTTCTCTGACTCAGCATCACTCTGGCCGAGCCCAGCAAAACACCCTGTCCCTCCCATCGGCGGGTGAAGGCTGAGCCGTGCGAGCGAGAGCCCTACCGTCGTCTCCCCGAGGTTGCTCAGCAGCCTGATGCTCTCCTTCAGGAAGCTGGAGGTCTGCGGCCGGGCGGCCGTGTGGCCCTGGCAGGCTGACAGCGCCAGGAAGGCGAGCAGGACCGGGACCGGGCTGTTCATGGCCTGCTTGGACTGAACCCCCTCAGCTCGCAGTTGGTGAATATTTTGGTGATCTATACCTGTGTGTGCTTTTCTGGAAGAAGCATCTCAATTTATGGCTGTGAAATTGCTGAACCCATAGGAAAAACTTATTTTTCCCTTATCTGCACTTTCCAAAGTTGCTCCTATCCAATTAGGACAACAGGTTTTTTTCGTAAAAGTCAAGATTTTCTTCTGATCTCGCATTACGTTTCAACGTAGGAAATTTCCACCGTAAGATAACGGTGGTAGGAGTCAGGTCACGCACAAAGGAGAGGTGTGTAAGCTGCCCGGTTTGGGGCGTCTTCATTTCTCCGTATCCCAAGACTTTCTCTACACCACAAGGTGAAAGTGGCCAAAGTGGGGAGACCCCCAGCTCTGACCGCGCTCAACTCATGGAAATTTGCTTTCTTTTTTTCCCTCTTCATTATCCTACGACCTCTTCCATCGCTCGGCTGGCGTTTCATTTGAATATCTCCAAATCATGCAAAGCATCCTTTATCTGCATACCATTTTCTGTCTAGGGTTATCTTAACCTGCGCCCGCGGAGAAACAGAAAGCGCAGCAGAGCCTGGGGCTCGTGGGGACAAAAACCTCCTGGGTTGGAGCAGGTCACCGCCGCCTCCCGGGGCCAGGGGGGTTACGGAGAGCTGGGCGCCCTCCTAGCCAAACGGGACCCCCAAAACAGTGTGACCCTGCCCGTGGCACCCTGCGGGGATGCAGGCAAGGGACAGGGAGCTGGTGGTCCTGCCGGGAGCGCTGGTGCTCGCATGGGAAAAGCAGGCAGGGGGGGTTTGTGACACCCCTCCAGCATCTCGGCGAGCTGGAGGCCGCCCTGGCCCGTCCTGCCCCGCTCGGGGACGCGCCTGAGCGAGGTTCAGGTGATGGGCTCTGCCTTCCCCGCCAACCAGCGCTGCCGCAGGAAATCACGCTGAGAAATTAGCTGAGCTGGGAAACTTCGGAGTTTTGTAATAACTAATAGGTATTTTTGTAACTCAAATAGCAACTTGCCATCAGATGCTTGATAAGAGTTTGCGAGCGCTCGATTAATCCAGGAGCAGCCAGACTGACAGTAGTTTTGTTTGTCTAATTACGAAATGCCTCAGATGAAGTTAGTGCCACTGACTCAGAAAGACCTTTGCGAGGGATTTGCCAGCGGAGAGCTGCGCCGTTTCCTACCTGCACTGCTTGCGATGGAGAGCAGATAAGCGAGCGCGCTCCGGCTGCGGGACGGCACGGTGGTGGCAGCGGCGGCCTGTGCGGGTGGCAGCTGTGGGGCTGAGCATCTCACCGGGATGCGTGGAGCCACCCCACTGGTCTGGGCTGGGTGGTGATGGGAGGCTCCCTGCCTAAAGTAGTGCTGGAGAAAGGGATGGAGTTGGTGATCCTGTCCCGCAGACACAGTGGTTTCCCCAGTGATCACAGTGGAAAGCTGCGAAGCTAGAATAAATGAACAGAAAATGCTAAATGAACAGAAAAATGTAACCTTTGAGCGACTCGAGCTGAATCACGGTGGAAAACCGTATCACTGTGCGGCGGGAAGGTCACCAGTGAAGGGAAAAATTCCCATGTCCTTTCCCAAGGGTGGGATGTGGCCGATGGCAGCGGTGGCCCCATCGCTCACCAGAGAGACGGCTCCGGCCCTGGTATGGTCTCTGTCCCTGCCCGTGCCGGGCGGGAGGGTCGTTTCTAGAGCCCCGGCAGCGCCGTCGTCTCTGCCCTCACCCAGGGACTGAACCCGCTGCCGTTTTCCCCACCGAAGGAAGGTGTTTGGTTCACAAACGTGTCCTCTGGGTTTCTCTGCTGCTGTCCTCCTCCTCGTGTTCTGTGGTTTGGAGCATCTCCCCATCACACAAGGATCCTGCCTGGGCTCCCAGCGCTGGTGTCCCCCACAGCCACCGAGCCCGGGGCTCTGCTCAAAGCTGCAGCCACCAGCTCGGCTTTTCCCTCCTTTCCTTGGCCCAAACCAGAGCGATTCCAGGGCCATGGGGGTTTCCCTGGGCGTCGTGTGGCCCAGGGTAAGCTTTGGCTGGCAGTGGAGGGATGTGCTGCTGTTTTCATGCATTTCTGTCGCCTGCCAGGGCTGGTGCTGGTGCTAATAACGCTGGGGTTTATCCGGAGCAAATCTGAAAGCTGCGGTTAACGCCCCATCGCAGCCATTTCCTACATTTATAGCCATTTCCAGCAGCCAATTGCCTCTTTATTTCCTACCCATGTCCCTGCTGCTAGTGGCACCCCAGCAGGGACTTGTCCCACGAGCCAGCCCCGGCCCTTCCCTCGCCCCGCGACTGAGCGTGCCTTCCCCTGCGTGCCGGGCTGGTGCCTTAGGATCCCAGGCTGGGCTGGGCTGGAAGGGACCTTGAAGACTATCTAGTTCCAACCCCCTGCCATGGGCAGGGACACCTTCCCCCAGACCAGATTGCTCCCAGCCCCATCCAACCTGGCCTTGAACCCTGCCAGGGAGGGGGCAGCCCCAGCCCCTCTGGGCAACCTCTTCCAGTGCCTCACCACCCTCCCAGGGAAGAATTTCTTCCTAATTTCTCATCTAAATCTACCATCTTTCAGTCTGAAACTGTTACTCCTCGTCCTACCACTACACCCCCCTGGCAAAGAGTCCCTCCCCGCCTTTCCCATACACTCTGCTGCCCGCTGGCTCCTGGCTGCGCCCCCCAGACCACGGTCCCCACCCCAACACGCCCCCTTCAGCACAGCCCCTTGCACCAGACCCTCTCCCCAAATGAGGGCTCTCCTCACCGCTCCTCCAGCCCTTCCCTTCACCCTGTGTTTTCCTACGCTGCAAGCCGGGAAGGTTCATCAGTGCCTTTTGCTTTCTTGAAGACTTGTTCGTGATGACAGACTGGGTAGATTTGCTGTATATCGCCCCCAAAAACGCTGCCTTCCCCACCCCATTGCCCCGTGCTGACTGACCGAGGCGGCAGCACCCCTGAGGCTCTTCATTAACTGCTGAAGGTAAGAGGGGAAGCGACAGCATAAACCATTGGTGCCAAAAGCTCGTTATTCAATAGTTTATTGATTAAGCCCCAAAATATTTTTTATAACATCAGTGCAAAGTTGAAATGAAAAAAAAAAACCCATAACAATAAACCAAAGACATCCAAATACACGGAAATTTGAATATATTAACTCTATTTTAATACAAATATTTTAAATAGAGGGAAGAACAATAAATTACGAATCAGCACACATTCATTTGTTGTCGTGGAAAGGCAATTAGGCAATAATAGTTCCCTAGGAATGAGGTAGCAGTATTTTAAATATAACTGTATTCCACAGAACTACTCTATATAACTTAAAAATAAAACACCCCAATGCTGGCTTTTCCTTTTCATTTTGGGTCCCGAGTGAAGAAAAGCTTTCAACAGCCAGGACTTTTTGGTCTTGAATCTTTAGATTACGCAGTATAAATATAAGTTATTTAAATAAAACATCACAATAAATAAACTCCAGAAGTGTGATGCCAACGAGCACCCGTCAGACCCAAAGTTCTTCTACAGACTCTCCTGGTCTTCACTATTAATAACTTAAAAGCCCACTGACAATACAAAAGGCACATGGAAGGCAACGTCGACGGTTCTGGGTGGCGGCGAGGTGGCCCCCTTCCCTCCCGCCTTTCGCTCTCGGGGCTGCACTCCCCC